AGATAATGTGTTTTTTTTTATATGGAATAAGTTTGACAAACGAGCACACAATCCATCTGATGGTAAGTGGATGTTGTGGCCCATAAACGTCTACATTTGTCCTCGATTAAGAATCAAAACGCAGACGCGTTGTCATCCCTGAGTACTAAGATGGAATGCCTCGTAACCAGTAAAAAAGGGTCTCCAGATCTCTACACTCACCATACGAAACACAGCAGTATTAAACTGCTATTTTACTCTGGTATTCTGTGAGAGCGTGGTCCTTCCCCGGTCGAGCCGACCCATTCGTGCTACATAAATAATAAAGCTGCAGCGTGGGTCTACCACGTACAAATGTTCTGTTATCTTTAACTAGATGGAAGGTGAACTTTTCTGCCTAGGAGTCTAGCAATCCGGGTTGGAAAAACCTAGGCATTAATCAGAGCTATTTTTGCCGCCCAATACTAACACTGCTTTATTCCGGGCTAAAGGATATATATTTTTTTATTAACTGGCTTTACGGCTCTGGGTTTTAGCCCTTCTGAGCCTATCATTTCTTTTGGAATCTTCATTTTTATATTCTTTTTCTTCACAATATGCTGATGCGTCACATTGAGATGCCCTTGGGAGATTTTGACGACAGCTCAACCGAGCGGACAGCTGGTGACGACAGCCACTCAAGTTCATGAGGCGCCTAAGCGATCAAAATAACTTGAGGTTTATATCGACATCAAAGCACTTGTTTCGTAGTTTTCTCTAATATTTCACACACGCGCACACTTAAATCACAAAATTGCATCACTTTTACGAATCAAAATCCACTTCAAACTTTATTCAAGCGACAAAACAGGGGTGACAATCCGTCTACGGTCAAGTTCCCGCCAAAACACAAAGGATATATAGATACAGAATAATTACGGACCATATTATGTAATCCCATTAGACCCCAGAGGTATTTTGCTTGATATTGGTTGCAGGTGTCCTTTGGTTACAGAAGCCACTTATCATCAAGCGGACTGTAAGTTTTTTTGTCACATCAGTTAATTTTTTTTAATATTTTAATGTTCTTACCTATTTCAAAAAGAAAAACAACATATACATAGACATAGATATTGCAAGTACTCATCCATTTACGAGTGTGATTCTACCATGGTTGAGTCAACCCATTCGTACTACTACTATAGTTTAGCTGCAGCGTAGCTCTACCACTTAAACCACCTTCAATTGTACCACCCGTGCCATCTAGTAAATTCGTTCATTCTAAGAGTGGTAAAATGAGTGATTTGACGCAGTGAGCACGGTACATTTTAGAGCAGTTGCGATTATACCTAAAATTAAAGATCACAATAAAAACCGCAATACGCATTCATCATCATTACGGCTCATAACCAATCCACTACCGAACATACCCCAAGGAATGTCACAAAGCACGGTCTAGAACAAGATCTCCAGTTACGTTCTCCTCGAAACGACCCGTTCGTGCATTTGCCCACACAATACATTGGAGCGTATCTATTAACATGTCTATTGTCGTATAATTTTGTGTATGTATCTACTGTTAGAACCTAAAAAAAGAATATTCCACTCCATCTATTGGTGTTGCCCTACACTCCGCTTTCTTTCGTTGTCGATTCTTCTAGCTATATTGCCATTTCAACTTACTAATACATTGGGCTAGGCTAGATCTTAATTAGTTCATGTTTTGACAGCTACCAATATTCTCCACTCATATAGGTACTTACTCGTAGTTCCGGGCAAAACAGAGGCACCACAGACAGTATTTTATTATTAAGTGACGTAGGTAATTGAAGGTAATGTGACTAACCTTCAAAAATTGACTATCCTGTTAACAGTAAAATGACATACTATTTTAAAGTAATATGCTAAGATTCGTGTAACAAACAAATCGATTAGCGATACTCTACAAATTGTTCACTCACGCAGATGTCGCAACGCGATACAGGCTTATTTTTCAAAGAGTAGCCAAATTTTAAACTTAAGTTCAAATATGTATGAATAACGATATATACCGTTATTGTAGTTTTTGAAAATACTAGCAAATAAGGCTTCTACTTTTGTTTGAAATTGTTCCAAATTGAGTGTGATTTATGGACAACAACGTTTTGTTCTACCGATCGACCCTTACGAATGTGTGCGTACGCAGTAAAATCAGTTAAAATAATGCATTCCACGCGTTTTGAATTTAAAAGGTTAAAACGACAGAATGTTTAACATATTTATTAAATAATTTTTCTCTGCCATTTGCCTATATTACTTATTTTGATTCTTCTCTGCGAATTTGGTCGTTTATTGCAAAATAACCCTGTATATATGAAAAATCCCTCTCTGTCATATAAACAGGCGGTTTTAAAATAAGCAAAATTTTTTTTTGGGATGCAATAAATCATTTATGTCATGGCACATTTGTTATTTTCAAAACGATATGAAAATGAAAATATCATAGTTTTATTTACTATTAAAAATTGTACAATAACCACCAACGGTACAAAAATGTTAAAAAGTTTTTCCATGTACCGCCAAACGTTATGAAAAAATGACTAGCTATTAGGGCACCTATGCCGCCGATGAGTACGCACCACCAAATAGCAGCTCTTGCACTGCTTTATGTTTCAGTCTGAAAGGTATATAAAGTCAGTATAATTATTAATTACAGACTGTAAGGCTTTCCGTCTTAGTCCTCAGAAGTAACAACGTAACTGTACCGTTCATTGTTTGAAGTTGGTTGCAAGTGCCTTTGGTAGTCAATTCTCGTCAGGTAGACTGTCGGTTTTTTCACTTCAGTTTCATAAAAAAATGGCTAAGCGTACCATTTAATGATAAGTGATAATAATGGAAATGTTGAATGAAAATAATACAATGCCGTTAAAAATGCAAACATTCGTTTGGTAATATTTTTCTTACATAGTAGTTATAACGACCACTTAAAATTGTTTCTGGTCATACCTATCATAGTTGTGACTAAACATATGGTTGCGTGATCCGTTTAAATTGCGTTATAATGTAAGAAATATAATATTTAATTATTGTTTTTAACGACATTTCTTGATTCACAGCTTGTATAAAGGCCTTTTCATGGATGCATCCATTTTCACAACACCTCACAAGGGGTTTTGTAGATGCAAAGTCTTTACACTCACTCTAGTGATACTTCTCTGTGGCTGACCTTGTCTGACTACCTACGTCTTGTGGTTTTAAACGCCAGTGTTAATCATGACGTAACGGATTCAAATTAATTAACGGGTCATACAAAAATCAGGTATTCGAATTTTCTGTTAAAAAATTGTCAGTAGCAGCCCGGATTTAACACGTAAAACATTGATCCTGCGCCTAATCTCTCTCGGTTCATATCAGATTACCCATCGGACTATGCGAGAACTGTGCTTGCGGATACACTTTTTTTGTCTTAAAAAAATTCTCAACAGAAGCCCCGAGTCTGGAAGTTGGCTATATTTAATTTTCTCCATGGCCTGGAAAGCACGTACTCATAAAACCGTTGGTCTTGCGCTTGATCTTTCCTTATGTCAAATCGCCGTCTCATCAGACGATGAAAGTGAAGGGATAGAGAGTGGAGTACACCTACACTTGCGCACTCGCTCGTGAACTGTAATCCTGTCCTGCACAGTTATCTGAGTATCCACGTAACTGACGACCGTGACCGAAATTCGGTCTGGAGAACGTTATTATTACTCGGTCTGCGCTACATTTTGGTTACGGTAAATTGTTTAATTATTGGGGCGTAACCTCTCTTTACTTCAACGTCGTTCCTAAATTTACAGTTGGCTTCTTCAAACGGTTTTCCACCCGTTTATTATTTTAACGGTTCGTCCTTGAATTTAACAAATGTTATTAGCGTTCATTCGCATACATGAATAAATACAGGGACTGTTACGGCCCGAATTCTTTAGTCACGAACTTAAAATTGCTAATGTATTTTTACGTAAAGATTTAGTATTTTTCCTTTAACCAGGCAGTGAGTTGTGGTTGCCAAATGACAACAATAAAACTTTATTTGCAAGAGAGTTTTTTTTTTTTTGCAGTGTAGAGTAATTTTTTAGAGGAATTTCGATATTCTTTCTCGCATTAAAAACGTTGTTTTGCTTGTCGTAAAATTAATGTTATAGACATAATTATAAAACTGATGTTGGGAGAACAAAACCTCTATCGAAAGTTGAAAAAAAAAACTCTTTAAAAACTTTATTTCCATTCTTACAATCATTTAAATTTGCTCGTTGTCCTAGACAACCGATTGTCCTTAAAAATAATCGACGAAAGACGACACTATAGCCTTGTCGCGTTGTATTGTTTTTTTTTTCTCACTCCCCTCGAACGACACGTGAGTGAACAATCTAAAACAAACGGCGCGATACTGTGCTAAAATATCAAAAAAATTGTGCTTCGTTCTAGTTATTTAGAAATAGGAAAACAGTTATATATATACACCTATATCCATCTCACTTCGGGGATTTTCTAAAGGTAAATTATAGTATTACGAAATAAGCCCGCCGCGTTATCCCAATGAGTGTTTACATACTCCATATTACACTCTCAAAATATGATAAATTTTGTGAATATGCTAATTTCCTAACGATATTCTAGACTTTTCTATTAATTACGGTGGAGCCGGCGCGGATCATAAGAAAAATTACGAAAAGTGCAGATGTGTTATCAAATTATTGTAGTAATCATATACATATATTTAAGATATATTATAGTTATCACATCACCATCACAATAAGACTTATTTTAAAGGCAAAACATATTGTTACTAAATTTGAATATTTATTAAGTAAAGTAAAAATATAGTCATAGCCTATATAGGTTCGATTGGTGGGCACAAGCGTCCTCTCTTCTCTGAGAGATTAATGGAGTAATAAGTACGCCGCGCTGCGTGTTGACGGATTTCGAATGCCCTCGAAATATTTTATTCTTCAGATATTCATGTTTTCTTTTGATGTGTGCACCGTCGAGCATAAACACTTAAAATTTAAATTAATAACTTCTTAATTTAACCTCGCCACAGCTTCCATCCAAGAGCCCTCGCTGTGGTTTACAAGCTCTGACCACAGGCCACGCCATAATGCGACAGTGTCGACCTGATCCTGTCCTGGGCCCGCTCCACACACCCCTGGTCGCTCCAATGATTTATAGAGCCTCTTCTGATCACTCTGGAAGAGATGATTCTGGTTGAACTGCCTTGACTTCTCAGTAAATCGTCGAATCCGGCATCAGGCCGTGCGCTCCGTTAGTTTCTGCGTGATATCCGGCTGGGACAAACTGATATTTGTCCCAGCAAACGCCATTCTAACGGTGCGCACAACCCTCGGTATATTATTAACTTCTTATCAGTGACCGTGCAGTGGCAGTGTGAAAATATCCACTACCCCATATCATACCGCGGGTGTCATAAGCTCGCACCCAGATTGCTTCCGTGCTTTCAAATTTACAGTAAACTTATTGGTTAAATTTAATTCTAATACACAAACGCAATTTATCACTGAAAACATATATCACTAAAATTATTACTGTTAAACTTTGGCAAACTTGTGTAATTGAATTGAAACAAGTTTACGCTAACCAAAAAAGTTACTAATGGCATCATTTATAATCTGTCATAAGTTACTGTCACTATGTGAAACTAAGGCATGGTTTGCAGAAGTTATTCTACGTTAACATGATTTATTAGTTGTTTTGTCGCAACCTAAATCACTTGTATATGGCACTAAAATAATTTGTCTTTAAACGAAGGGCCGATTTATCTGTTATCGGATAAAATATGACGTCTAATTAAAATTGCTCAATTGTTTTACTTTTATAATATAATAAAAATGCAACAATTGAATATTATAATTTACTTAAAGGGTTAATTTTACCGATGATTTTTGAAATCGGCCCCGAGACAACTTATATTAAATTTACTTATTTTTATTGATTAAAACTCCTTAAAAGTAGTTTTAATCAATGTATAGTGTTCGCGTAAATATAAGAAATCATTATTTATTTTTATTTATGCAACTATATATTATATACATACTTCAGGCAATAAGCTTCCTTATATAAACATACTAGCTGAGTACCGCGGTTTCACCCGCGTATAATTTAAAAAATTATTGATTGATTTATTTATTTATAATACATTAGTATAGACAATATTTTTGGTAACATTTGCGGATATTAACATTGGTTCTCTCGGGTGGCAAGGGTTATGTCGTTAAGCCGAGTGTTGAATTATTTTAATTTTTCATTATATCTTAAACTACGCATTCAAATACATGCTGTAAGAAGCAAAGTTTAAAATTTTCTTGATGATAAAATCATTTTCGTTCGTAAGGATTAATATGCCATGCCTAATAATAACGCTCATAATTCGCTTTTTAATAATCAATGATTTTTTTTTTCAAAAAATAACATATTGTGACTTATATTATAAGTAATAGGCATTTGGCACATCATAAACTTTTTTTAGATAGAGTAAGGATCAATATTTTTATAGAACATTATATTTACGTATCACTAGCTATTACGCCAGAACAAGCGGATAAATCAGAATAATTACAACTAGCTGCATCGATATATATGTACTACGCACTAGATTTGTCATTCTGAACACTCACTATATTCAACTGAACTGTACTGCAATCCATACACCTGTTATTGTGGTTTCGATATTCATGCAGTGCGGAGCGGCGCTAATAATAATTTTATATTAGATTAACACATATGCAAAATAAACGAAAATTAAAAAAATATACCCGATTAACAATACAATCTAAATAAACAATTATTTATTTGATAATTTTCGCGCATTTAATATCAACTGCGTATGCGCGACTACTGTTTCCCGCGCATGCGCGGATACAGAGTAGTGCACATTTTTTGTTTGGATAGCTTCTCTAGTACGTAGTACATATAACTCAATGGCTAGCTGAGAGGTGTAGCTTAATGCTAGATAGCCTATACTATTCCTCATGGATTTAACTATCATATACAAAAAGAATTTTTAAATCGACCAGGTAGTTACAGAGTTTGGCGTGTTTAATCAAACAAAAAAGAAAAATAAAAAATCTCTTCTGCTTTGTTATAAATTATTAATGCAGATATTTTCCCTTAAACTTCTAATTAATAACGTTGTGGTGTACCTACCGTAATTACCTTTATTTACATTATACTCTGTGAGTTATAATTCTAATTAAACTCTTATTAAAAACTTAATACGCAATTTATTTAACTTCAAAGAAGCTCAGGGAATGAATACTTGTTTGAAATTTCATTATCCCAGAACAGTAATTTGATAAACCTAAAATTTCGGCATTCTCAAATTTATTTATTAAAATTTTAATTACTTCATAACAACATTTAAGGTTATTGAAACTATACGCATTGATGTGGATAAAAACGAAAAAGAACTTTTCACCTCTACAAGACTTTTATTATTTATTTCATTCTAGGTGAACGTTAAATATAGCATTGCCTAACATTCAAAAAAAATAAAAAACTGCAACTTTCACAAGTATCAGTAGCCAGATATTAGTGTATAGATAGCATGCAATAAAATCAGAATAATGATGTTAGCGAATTACGTTACAAACTTGTTTTTAGTCTAATGACTATTAGATCAAGATACAATTAGATTAAACCTTTCCTATGCAAATTAATTATTCTATAGACTTTTGTAATAGACATAGCCTCTCTTTAACATTTGATATACATTAATATTCCAGGAACCTGTTTAAAATGGACTCCACAAGAACTTTCATAATAATTATTAAAGATAGAAGCTTAGCATGTGAATAAAATATTTTATTTACATTCTAAGCTTATTTCCTGTACTTAACCTTTCGTCTGTTGAAACATGTTTCCATGTAAACTAAAACTAAAGACGGGTAGCAGCATTTTCCTGATTACAACTCAAAATAGTTAATAAAACAGCGATTGCTAATATTATAATAAATTACAATCAAAATAACACGATCTGTTTAAAACATAACATAAGCACTCACGCCTATCACCCAGAGGGGTAGGCAGAGACTACGGACTTCCATTAGGTACGACCACAGATTAATCTGTGGGTACGACCCTGATACACTTCCTTCACATCCATATACCTACGCATACAAGCTCCTCGGTTAAGGCTTAATTTCGCCCATTTTCAGTATATTGCCAATTTGCTTTTCGACTTGCTTTGTCACTCTTTTCTCAAGCGTATTGGCAACCGCAGTTTTTATTTTTAGTCGTTATCAGGAAGACGCTGCTGCCCAGCTCCTGATTTGTTTCTCTCTGTCGCCCCTTACGACACCCGCGAAATGTGGTATGACGGGGTAGTAGATACACTTACACCGCCACCGCACGGAAATCAGAAAAAAATTGCCCTGCTCTAAAATTTTATACGTGATAGAACCATGCTGCAGTTATATTAGTAGTATATTTGTAGCACCAATGGGTTAGCTCGACCGAGGAAGGACCACGCTCTCACAGAATACCAGCGTAAAATAGTAGCTTAATGCTGCTGTGTTTTGTATGGTGAGTGTATAGAAACGGAGACCATTTTTACTGGAAACGAGGCATTCTATCTTAGTCCTCACGGGTGACAACGCATCTGCATTTTGATTCGTAAACGAGGATAGATGTCGATGTCTATGGGCCACAGCAATCACTTACCATCAGGTGCTCGTTTGTTACCATATCCTATAAAAAATTGTTTTTGTAACATTTTTTTTTTTCACCTCCAAGAATTTACTATAGCCCAATGAATCAGCCGTACAGCTTTTCGTAAGCTAAATCACAATTGAATAAAAGCGGCCAAGAGCGTGTCGGGCCACGCTCAGTGTAGGGTTCCGTAGTTTCCCGTCCGTCACAATAAGTGTTCCCACTTATGAGTTTAAAGGTGGGTATCCATTATGTTCGCGCTCCAGCAGCGCTCCGCGCTCCTGCAACTGCTCCCGGTAGTGGGTACTGTTGTTTCAATCAACTTCAAAATGATTTTCCTAGAAAGTCCTTATAAAGTTGTACTTTTCAGATTTTTTTTCATATTTTCTAAACTTATGGTTCAAAAGTTAGAGGGGGGGGGACACATTGTTTTTTACTTTTGGAGCGATTATTTCCGAAATTATTGACATAATCAAAAAATGATTTTAGTAAACCCCTATTCATTTTTAAATACCTTTCCAACAATATATCACACGTTAGGTTTTAAATTAAAAAAAAAATCACTTCCCACTTACATATAGGGGGGCTACCCTAATAAAACATTTTTTTTCCAATTTTTATTTTACCACTTTGTCGGCGTGATTGATACACATATTGGTACCAAATTTCAGCTTCCTAGTGCTAACGGTCACAGAGATTAGGCGAGGACGGACAGACGGACAGACAGACATGGCGAAACTATAAGGGTCCTAGTTGACTACGGAACCCTAAAAATAGGCAACCGATTCTTCGACAGTTAATCAGCTGAGTAATTTTATCCGTTAATTAGTTTTAGACATTTTATCCGAGGATTGAAAATTTGTTTCTAAAAATATTTTAATAAGACTCATTAAGGCACTCTTATACTGACACTTTAGGTATTTAGCGCATCTCCAGCGCGCGCGTAATAAACAACGCAAACACCCCAAAAAAATGAACTCACTTGATCCCGGCACCGCGCTACTACAGACCACAGTACAAAATAGTTCGCAGTAGGACCACTTCTTATGATTTGAACTCTTTTTTAGTTTGCAGTGAGTAGTTACAAATTACGTCTTTAGTTAATGTTTTGTATGATGTATTAAATTTATACGTATTTAGTTTTTTTTACTGATTTCGATTATTTAAAAAAAAAACTTTGTATAAAATATTAAATTAAATTTCTTTTTAATAATTTTATGTAAGTTTTACAAATGCGTAAGTATTCAAAGTTAAATAATTACAATAGTGATCTAAAACTACATCTTAACCAATCGATCAACTTTGACACAATTTCTAAAACTCTTCCATACTGAGTTGGTGAATTCTTTTAAAATTTTTGTCAGGTTCGTTAGACGTTCGATGGTCAGTCCTGAATAAATCAGGTCTGTTATTTTCTTTGTCTGGTACATCAATTACAGACATGGAGTCACATTCCGGTTTTAGATCTCGGATCGCCATCCCACGCGCATATCTGCTGTCTACAATTTCTGTGAGTAAGCAATTTTTATAAAAAAGTACTAACTTTGGCTCCATAGTTTTCCAAAAGTCATCATCTCTTTCAATATATTTTGTGAAAATTGTTTCATTGTCACCTGACCAAATTCCTAATAAACAAACTTTCCTACCCGTAACATGCAGCTGGCCCTGAATTTGGTAGTACCAGTTACTTTTCTTGTTTACGGTCACCGTGCCTGTTTTTTTGTTGTATTTGAGAATTTGAATTTTGTTTTCCTTAATTGAATTTTCAAGACCTTTTTTAGAAGCTGTAATGGGACACTTTATCTCGACTAACATATCATCTCCTACCAGTCCGTCCGGAGTTGCACCGATAAATGGATGAGTTTGATCGATAAATAATCCACAATGCGTAATTTTCACATTTTCTTGCTTTTCCAGTTGTTGTAGAGCTTGACTTTCATGTTCGATTCCGTGGCAAATGGAGGCAACTTTTAACAAATTCTTTGGATATAATATATTTTTAACAAGTGAAGCAGTGCCAAAATTAGCCTTTCTTTTACATATTGGGCCGAAATTTGAAGCTGTAACAAGATTTTTTCTTAACTCAAGCCATTCACTGCTGTCCCTTTGCAACACGGTAGCCCTTTCAATAGCATTCCTATCACATGTAACATCCTTCAAATTTTTCATAAATTCTTCTTTAGCTTTTTCTAACTGTTGAGGAGACATATCAGGTGCTGCACTTGCTGGACCATAATCATGTTGCTTTTTGTTAATTTCCCTTAATATTCTTCTTTTCTTTTTTGGATGTTCAAAGTTTATCTTCCGTTTTTGAGACCTTTTTCTTTCTACAATCACAACATTTCCTCCGGTACATTTGCCAGTAAAAGCCGATTGAACTGTAGATATTGCCGATTTGGTGTTGAATGACACTACTGCCGCTGAACACCTACCTTGATAACCTCCTTTCAAAGCAAAATTGATTCGTTTTCCTCCAATAAATTTTGCAATTACACTATTAAAGCATTCGACATTGTTGGTATCCACGTCTTCAATTAAACTTCGTGATTTTGCTGCAATACTGGAAACAATGGCATTTATCCTAAAAATAAAGGTTGAATTTTGAATTTTTTTTAAGTTCTTCATTATCATTTTTTTCTTTTGTACAGTAATAATCCTGGCAAAATCTATGGTCACCATACGCATGTGACACAGAGTTGATGATATCGTTGTGTAACATCGATATTACATCTCGAGGACTCTGCGATACTTTGTGATGTTTTATGGCTTTCACAATTGCTTTCCGCATTGCTAAAATTTTTACATTAGTCAATGTTTTTCGTTGAGCCAAAGCGTATTTTGTTTCTGTTATTAAATTACGCATTCTTTTACAAAAGTTTCGCAAGATATGGTTACGGCACTCAATTTTTTCGACAGTGACATTTTGTTCTGCATATGGTCTGGCCTGTAGGATTTTCGCGTAAGTAGAGGCGTCACCATCACCAATCATTCTACCATATATGAGGCCGTATGAAGATATAGAAGACTTAAATCCTTCGACTATAATCTCATTTTCCATAGACGTTGACGATCCTTCGTAATTTTTGAAGCATTTATGCTCCTTAGGTGAAATATTGTTATTTTCAGCTCGGGCACACACAAGACAGTATTTATTTTTCACCCCAATGTAAAGAATTTGACCAGTTTTTCTGCCGATAATAGCTGCAGTACCAGATAATGCTTTATAATTAGAACCATAGGATCGAGCGCACCAGGAGCCATCAACGAGAACATCAATTACGGGAAAACCACCCTTGGTTTGGCCTTCTTCGATAGCTATTTCTTTTTCTTTTTCTGCAGCTGCTGCCATAGAAGAACTCGCAGTTTGTTCCCATTTTTTAAGAACCTGATCTTGATATTTGGTGTAAGTATTCGGAGTAAATACTGGAACGTCTATTGCTGAACATAGCTCTTCAAATTGAGAATAACCAATACCAGAAGCAACGATGCCAGTGGTCGCGGCAATGTTTAAATTAATTTTTTCAGTATCATGTGTGTTTTCAGATTTAATTGTACAGATATTTTTGCACATATTGCATTCAAATTTGAAAAAGGATATAAGTCCTTCTCTTTTTTCACCCATTAGACGAAAATTACTCATGTTACAGTTGAACAAATCATTATGACAAGCTTTTTTTTGTAACTCTTCCAAGAGGTAATTAATATCAATGATCCGCCGTCCTAGAACATGCTGAAATTCTTCATTGCTTTTTTCAGGCTCAATTACGTATGAATCGTCATTGTCATCAGTTGGTCTGAAAAATAAATTCAGGGAAAAAATAAATAAATTCAAATTGTAGATGAACCCCCTTGGGTTCATCTACCCGTGAAACTGAACAACTTTCCTAAAGAAACCCATATCGAAATCTGAAAAAAAATCGATCTCCCAAACAAAATATGTTACTTGACTGGACAATTTGTATGGCAGAACGATTTTTTTTAAATTCGATATGGGCTTCTTTATTTTTAAATAGCTACTTACACATAATTCGTTATATTCTGTACATTAGAATTCAGTGTAGTTGTGCTACTGCTGGGCAAATTACTCTGTTGTCTGAAAAATACATTGTCCAATTATTAAAACAGCACGTGTCAGTAAGTAATATCAGAAACTATAAGGCCTATAAAGCCTATTAAACTATAAAGCGGGTTGACAGAGGTGCGAACAATGGATTTCCATTGTCCGCGCCACTGTCACTAATCACGCCAATATTATAAATCGGAAAGTTTGGTTGTTTGTTTGTTACTTAATATCCTTCAAAACCACTGCACCGAATTGGATAAAATTTAGTTCACAGATAGTATATGACCAGGATTAACTTAGGTACTTTTTACCGGTTTTTATAAAATACATGTGAAGGATGTGGCGAAGATCAATTATTTCACATACCTAATGTATAATATGTCGCTAACATACTTACTTTTCATTGAGTTTTTCTTGTGATCTAAACATGCCCTTGATCCGTGGTGCTTTTGCACTGAAACAAAAAAAAGGTCACAATTGCTACATTCAGTGGTCTTACTGTTGTATACTTATACTGTGACATATAAAGTAAAAATAAAACAATTGTTTTTATTGTTTTTACGTGAAGTTGCATTTATCAATTTATTTGTTTTTATTAAAAAGTGAAAATAAATATATTTTATAGTATTCATTCATACTCACATTATTGTTTTTTTCAATCTTCGTATTTTTAATTTTGATAATTTTTTATATGCTGTTTGATTACCCATATTTCTGCAATTCTTATATTATTTCTGCAATTCTTATATTATTTCTGCAATTCCTATATTATTTCTGCAATTATGAACTGCACTTATATGCTGAAATATAAAACTTCAATCTTAAGTTTACTCGCGAGCAATATTTTCGAGATCGGAACGGCGGTGCGCGCGAAAATTAGACACAGAACCTGCTTCGGCAAGGCCCGGCGGGCGACTAGCGTGAGCAGAGCTTGCATTCTATTATATTGTTATATATTATTTAGATTTATAAAAAGTAAATAGCAATTTCAATAAACGAACCGCAGAATTGTTTGTTAAAAACATGTTTGGATATTGTAGTTTAATTTTTATAGTAATTTACGTGGTATTTCAGAAATGAAACGAAATAATAAAACTCAAAAGACCAAAGTTTAGATAAATTTTCTATCGTAAAAATTTAGAAATATAATGTTTTCAACCGCAGATTTGTGAACCTCATATCCTTAAATTTGTTATGTATTTTTTTTGGGTCTTGGAAACTTTATTAGAGTCCATGAAATTGTTTTGAATATAGTAATTTAATAAGTAACTATGTACTTAAAATAATTTTACTAACTTTACGCTTTCCTTCGACAAGTATGTATGTCAATATGGTAGATTGACATATTATTTACCATCTACTCAATGACGAATATCTTAAAATTAAATAGAGCGATTACAAATATAATTCTACATATAGAATTAAAACAATTAATGTAATATTTGAAACAGATTTGAGAAACTTTCGTTATCCTTCTTTTTAACGTGGTTGAGCCACGCTGCAGCTATATTATGGTTGTAGCACGAATAGGTCGGCTCGACCGGGGAAGGACCACGCTCTCACAGAATAGCAGTGTAAAATAACAGTTTAATGATGTTGTGTTTCGTATGGTAAGTGTAGCGAACCGAAGACCTGTTTTACTGGAATAGAGGCATTCCATTCTTGTCCTAAATGTGACAACGCATCAGTATTTTGATTCTTAATCAAGTTTAAATGTAGATGTCTATGGGCCACGGCATCCACTTACCATGAGGTGGACTATGTGTTCACCCTTCTTTTATTAAAAAAAATCTTAAAACTCAACATTGAAAATTTTCATAATAAAATGCTATCGAACGTCATTATTCTTCCATCACAATACTTTTTGAAACTTGATTATTTTATAAAATAAGTTGGTAAACATAGCTTTTAAATTTAATAAGATTAATAAATATAAAAACATCTATTCTTTTTGTGATATAGATTTTTATAACATTACCTTGCAATAAACTTCAAACAAAGAAGGAGATAAGAGTTGACTGATGAATGACGTTGCACTGTGTCACTGTATGTTAAACACCGCAAAGATTGTAATTAATTTTGTCTATCGTGGCAAATCCTCCCTGATTTGCCATTATTGACAGGCTTAACAGAGGATTAGTAATTGCAATTCCAGGCGTCGTACGCCTTCGAATATACACCGTCGCCGGTCTAAGTATTTTACATAGTCATCGAAACATACATCACCGTATATCCCAGATCATTCCTGATTTTCCACATTCGTCTATAATGACACCCACAGGACTACATAGGTTTATGAATTATCTTACGCCACTATGTACGAGTTAGTAGTACCTACTGCTGGGCACAGGTCTCTCTTTTTTCTAAACGTGTTTCCTAAGTGTTGATGGACTCCACATTTCCTTCAAATGTTTTATTCCTCAGTGATGCTACGATTATTAGATGCTATTATTTACTGTTAAACACGTGGTAAATCGGCTTCACATCGCAATTCACAATTTTATTGGTGCCGGCGGGGATTGAACCCGGGTTGCTCGTTTAGTGTAAAATTTACGGCGAGCGCTTACCCTTGAGTTACCCTAGCTCTTGCATAGAATTTACTTAATTTGAATTCTTCTTCCGACTTTTAGCGACACTAATTCCTAAATCTTTTGAAAACAGTTCATTCATTAACTCTTTTAGTTGAATAAAAAAGTAAGATAAAAACTCACCTATAGTGGCAGGTGTGGGGCACAATACACCGGGCTTACGGTCCGTCGCATTTGTGCGTATGGTCTCGTATACGTGGTGCGTAAAATTCCTGCTATTGGATCTTATTTTTTGGAGATAAGAGCGATATTAGTTTGCACGGATTGCCCACTGCGGTACAAGGTGTGATATTCAATGCTATAACTAAAGGATATCCGTCCGTGCGAAGCCTTGGTGTTTGATGATTGTTGACGGTAGCCTTTGCTTCCGTGCCAATACGATGGAATTAGGTTATCAAATATCACGGAAATCATTGAATTTTAGTAGATGACAAAATATGGACAACTTTAATAAATGACATCAATATTGAGATAACATTTATAATGACGAGGCTCGTATTCTAAGCCTTAACCTTTATTTGAATTATTTTTATTTCCTGTAAAATTGTTAATGATATTAATGATATTTTAGCTGATATATATATATATATATATATATATATATATATATGACTGACCGACTCATCACGAGATTTCTAAAACTACACACCCGATTGACTTGATTCAAGTATAGAATTCAGTATAGTTACTTATCTCGCAATGTAGACGCTCACTAAGAACGGATTTTACGACATTCCCATCAAAAAAAAAACTTGATACTTTACATTTAGGTTCCGCAAAAAAATATTATTGTCCGTCTAGTGAAGCGAGCGGCTATCAGCTAGTATCTTATAAACTTGTAAAATGTGCGTACTATTCCCCTCTTTTTCTTTAAAAAAAAAACATATCTCCACACCAAAATTTTCTCCTGTATCATGAGGGCAGTTTACATCATAAACTTCACACGTACAAACCTCCAGACCAGGAAAAATTATTCGTAGGCCATACAAACAATTCTTCCGTGCGGGATTCGAAACTGAGGCTCTTTGCTAAGACAGTATGCCACGGAGCCGTCAAACCTAGTCTTTTAGATTATTACTATATTCCAGAATTATTAAAGGACATTAAAAGAAAAGGCTCATTTGCCGGTCCTAAAATTACGGTATATTAGGTATATCTGTAATTCAATCACTGTAATACATCAAGCAGCGACATGAATTCCCTTGATTGATTGATTGATTCGCTAATACAGTTTCTACAAATGAGCACCCTTTCTATTAAGATCCGTGTCGTCCCTCTCGTCGTTAACTATAACTATAACTTATAGTAAGTGTTACCCTACCTAATTTCTTTTTATACACATTAAAAAAACACTTATTTTTATATAATTATTAAGGGCTTAATAGTATGAGTTTACGTTTCAATTTTAAAATATGTATATACTACTAATATTACGACTTGTCTCATTCGATTGAGTTCATTTTCCTGTCCTTGACGATGTGATTTGTTGCCTAAATCAGTTTATTTAGTAAGTATTACTCTGTTTAAATTGTTTCCTATATAGGTATCAAAGAATTATTCTGATATATTCATATAATATATATTTATTGTTATGAAATTCAAATAGAATAAGTAATTTAAGCCTTACCACTGGTTCTGAAAAACCTTTGTCCTAAGCAGAACCAGCAGCAACCACGGGATTTAAAAAAAAATTACAATATAATATTTTTTATAATTAAGTATGCAAACGTTTAGAAAAAGCATTGTAGTGATTACCTCATTTCCAGAGGTTTTTTATCAATCATGTGATCGTTAATAATATATTAACACAAATAAACAATTTTTACTAAAAAAAATATGAAATTTTTGACAATTAAATCCAGTATATTTTCTAGGACATTGTAGTAAACAAAAGCAGAAACGGAATCATTTTCATGCCAA